ATATATACATATAATTATATACACAAGATTATCTGTATTGTTAATTGTGCATTAATGTATACATATATATTTAATAAATATATATTTAATAAATAGAAACCTACTATATTATGTTACATATATATTTGTTCGTTGCATAAAGAATTAAATAAGCAACTGAGATTGAAAGCAACGAACAAATCGCGTGAGTCATTATGATTTATGGTTCAACGTAAAATCTGGATGACATTAGTAGCTGGCACACAAATTAGGCTTACATAAAACTACAATGTATAGGTAAACGTCAGAATGCTCGGCTACAATGTTAATAGATGATCGAAGGAAGGAGAAACATTGCATACATTACAAACGAATACATGCGTCGTGCAAGGTCACTGCAAGTAAAGCTGCAGTAAAACACGATTGAGATAAGTTAACTCCCAAGCACGGAAACTTTTCGTGTTCTATCGATCAAATAATCAAGGTCGAATAATTTAGAAATGACGTACAATTCGTCTTAAAAAAAAGAAGTCAATAATAAATTTTTTACGGTTTTATAAATTCGCCTCGAAACCACAAAATATTGCTACATAACTTGCCGAGTTGCTTGTAAATATTTCATTAACTTTTTAAAAATTTAAACATTTAAAGGAATCCACGAAGAAATTCAATCAATATGTCCTGCAATTAGTGTGATGATGAAGAATAATAAATTTTAAAACAATTGTACGAATTAAATATTAAAGTATAATATGTAATGTGATAAAGAATTGAAATCGCTGTTGATCAATTAAATATTCTCATATTATAGCAACACAGCTTTTCAAAAATTTAAATAAAAATTTTACATTCCAAAAAATCCATGAATTTAAGAGATTTAATGTATTTTGCAACCAATAATAAAGGATAATCAATTTAAAACTGAAACAATTCCACAATTAAATATTAAACGAATTCCGAAAGTCGAAATAAACAAAAACACGGCGCAATAGATAAAACAACCAACGGTCTTATCAGGTCACCTTCTAACGTAACTGCGACGCAAAAGCGGTGGAAAACATCTTAGACGTAAAAAAGCTTAGACTTACCGAAGATGGTGTTGCTAGGATTCATAGCAACCTGATTCTTCGCCGCATCGCCGATCAGCCTCTCGGTATCGGTGAAGGCTACATAGCTTGGTGTGGTTCGGTTACCCTGATCATTGGCGATGATCTCAACCTTTCCATGCTGGAAAACACCCACGCACGAATACGTGGTGCCCAGGTCGATTCCAACTGCCGGTGCTTTCGACATCGTTAGCCTCTCTTTTCTTTAATTGTTTCGACAGTAATCACTGAAATGTAACAATGTGATACATATTGTATTGTATGAGCGTTGCAATAAAAAAAAACTTTGATTAGCCTCGAGCGATCGAAGTTACTCGAACTCGAATCCCAAACTGTGCAAAATAACAACGCAATAAATGTTATACAGTGAGTACAAAAAGTATTCGTGCAGAGAAAATATTTTTTAAAAAAACTTTATTTTTAAAAATTAAATATTTGATCGAATCAATACGATGATTTCAATACCGATTTCAATTCGACATTTAATTAATAATCATTTCTTGCTGAGTAATTAATAATTTATTCATAAAGTATAAAATAGACTGTATGTTTCTTATATATATATATATAACAAAAAGATGTGTATTAATTATAGAAAATATATTATCTGAAAAATAAACGAAAATTAAAAGTTGCATTGTTTGGATGCTCAAAAAATATTCGTACAATCGAGAAATTTAGCTTATAAAATCAGAAATACATGCGAAGCTCATTTGTATATGTTAGAACAGAATGTACTCATTGTATAAAATTGCTAATTAATATTTATTTTCTACAAATAAGATTTTTTTTTTATTAAAAATTTCCTTGTACGAATACTTTTCTCTCTGTATATTATATTATATTACGCCTGTCGAATTTTTTTAATATTGATTATCAAAACGCTTTTCCAAAAACACATATCGTGTTTTGTAATGAGCCATAAGAAGATAAAATAAACTTAAAACTTTCCTGAGGTAATTTGTTCTTTATTTGCAGCATTTGATTATTGCGTCATAATTTTTTCTGGAAGTCACGATGTTTCGGATATCGCGATCGGTATTCTTATAATAATCTGATATTTAAGATCATTTTAAGTACAGTCTTAAAACGTCGTAAGTTAATTACAAAGCCGTATTAGCATTTTGAGACATTACTTAAAATGGCCTTGAAATAAGAACCGGTTATATAAATACCGGTCAATTAAAACTCGGAGGCAATTTTCTTTTTTCTACAATTATTAATTGCATCTGAGTCACATAATTTCACTTTTGTACGTAACAAAATTACGAATTTACAGATAAAAAACAGAAACAATATCGGAGAAAACTGTCCAAAAATATATATTCTGTTTCTAGCAGAAATTACTAATGCGATGAATTTTTAAGAAACAATCGATGTATAATTTATATACCTCACAATTAAATAACAC